GGCGGGGCTAAAGCCCGGTGGGATCCTACGGATCCCCCTCCAGAGGAGCCCCCCCCGTAGCCCCGCTTTAGCCCCCCTCTGGATTAGGCAAATTCCCCCCTTAGGCCCCCCCGAATCCCAAGATAACTCTCTATTAAGAGGTAGTAGCACTGAGGATAGAGGCTAGGTATGTCAACCTATTAGCAATGGATTCCATTGCTATTCATCCCACTACGGTGATTTACCTTGCATTATTGCGTGCTTTCTTCTTCGAGGTTAAACGGCGATTAGATTACGACTGGTTAATTCACTTAGCCTTAGATTTCACAAGTCGGGTTATTGGGATAAGGTTCGATTATGGTTTCATTCTTGATTTAGATTGCCTTGAGTCTATACTTCTTCGTATTCATTTGAATAGAATCATTCGCCAAGGAGTCTTATGGCTCAAGGTGAAAGGTTTTCACCTGACCGGGGGGGCCTAAGGGGGGGTTATCTGAAGGGCCCGCGAAGAATAAACCCTACGCAAGATCAAGTGAACCACTGGCATGGTTGCTGGGGGTGGGCTTCAAAGAAGCCCCGCCTACGGCCCCACCCCGCCGCAAGAAAGAATCAGTGCTCATTGATCGTTGATGCTAGCAAGGACACTTCAACATTATTTGGCCTTACCCCTTATCTGCCTTGCCTTTATTTACTATGAGCTTCATTCCTTCATAGAGGTAATAGTAGGGGTGGCTATCCCTAACTCACTTGCTTTCTACTGCTTCGTGCTTTCTTTTATGCTTGCTACCATGAGCAAGTGAAACTGCTCCTTCTATTAAATAGAGATGATAAATCTGAAGTGGAATCCGGATCAACCCTGGAGTATCGACACTCTGCTGAGACTCGCCAGCACATCTCGGAAAGTAGACGCGGGGCTAACCAGCCTCTTTTTGGTCATGGGCCAAACCCCCCGGCCTTTAGCCCCCCGCAAGAGTCATATGCCTGAGCCTGAGACTAAATCTACAATATCTGCAGCAATGACAGGGCATCCTTACTACGGGAAAAGTCACCCCTGAAAGCTTTGCTTTAATTGGAGGCCACAATCCGCGGTCTAAGCGAATCTACCAATTCGCCGCTGAACATACTACTTTAATAGCTTTGACTCTATCCGCCATGGTTGCTACCATGGCAGCTGACCTTTCAGGTATATGAGCTTACGCGCTGCCTGAAGGCAGGTACTCTACCCCATGGTAGTTGTAATCTTTCTTACATTGGCCCTTGCACGGAGTAGCCAAATACCTTAATCCTATTCTTTCTCTTGATGTCTTTCTTTTCCCTTTTCCTTGCTTAGCTCTCCTTCTTTCTTCTTCCTTGTTACTCCGCCCTTTTCTCCTCTCCTCTCCTCTCCTCTCCTTCACATGTGCTCTTTTCTTCTTACCCTCCACTACTTCAAATTCCCCCTTCTGAGTGGTGAGTCTATAAAGAGTCAAGAAAACTCTCTTCACTACTTTTCACCTGCCTTGCTATGGCATACCAAGCATAACAATCATGTAACATTGGGGTTGTAACCTATAACCTAACCCAAAGCAAAGGCAATACTACCTATGATTAACCCCCCTAACCCTTAACATTCCTTTTCTTGAGAAATGCCAGAGTGATATCAAAAGGGAGTGTAAGTGAATAGGAAGAGTTTATAGCTACCAAGAATAGTCAAATTGAAACATGGATAAGCGAGCATAGGTTAGTGGTAAACCGTGTGCCTTCCAAGCATGATTCGCGTGTTCGAGTCACGCTGCTCGCATGTGAAGGTAGAAGGATAGTATCAATAGATACTAGGTGACATAAGTCACCCATCATAACTGAGTTCTCAGAACTGAGAAAGTCCTTCCTTACTGGCAGAATCACCTGCAACTTAACCTATTTTCAACGTACAGTGGTAGATAACTCTACAACCTCTTTAGAGGCTAGCCTTTTGGTTTTCAACCGTTGAATGGGGGATAAAGGTAAATCAATGAAGATAAAGCCTAAAGATTCAAAATGGATTTATCAGGGGTGAGTTTTCCTGTAAGAATGATGGTTAAATTGGATACTTAGGGGCCCAGGGAGCTTAACTCATTACCCCTTTCTCTTCTAGTCGGGCTCTTCAAAGGATAATCGGCATTGTCTCCCTTTGAACCCAAAAACAGTGCGTGTTGGATGCGGCTTGAGATAGCCTGATGGGGGCTTCTCTGAAGCCCCCCCCTAGGCCCTTGGTATGGTTGGGGAACTCCCCCATAGCAACCTGCTGCCATCTTTGCCTCTGCTATAGTCTCAGCTAAATGTTGGCGCCCTAGAGACTGCAACTTTCATGCTAGCAAGGATAGTATATATAGGATAAAGCCGATCAAGCAAATATTGCTCTCTCTCGAATAGGAGGAATTCTTCTGAGCTATTGCTATGCAAAGTCCCAGGTCGCAAGAGTACTACAGTACTACGGTTAGAAGAGTAAAGGCAGAATACCCATATTTCTTATAACCCGAACGGATTGTGCTCTTAGTTTTAGTATCCCCGTTTATATAGCTAGGGTTAAATAGCTTGATACTCGTTTATCAATCCGGTATGAACTCCCCACGTAGACATCTCCTTTCCTTATTTAACCACGCATAGATACCGCTACGACCTTAAGGGTTTCCTTGATTGTGCATCCTCCTGAGGTCCATAAAACTATGGACTGGTTTAAGGGTTTGGGTTAATGATTGTACAGGTTCCTGTATATCAGATATCGGCTTGCTAGCGTCAGCTTTGACGGTTCACTCCACGTTCGAGCTTGGGCGCTCCTTACCGGTAGCATAGCCTCTTACTTGGGGCCGTAGGCGGGGCTTCTTTGAAGCCCCCCCCCGGCTTCAGATAACCCCACCCCCGTAGGCCCGCTTTACCCCCCCGCCCTTATGGGTCCTGGTAAGGCTTTCCTCAGAACATTTAATACCAACTATCATCTTAACCATTTCTTTACTTGAACCTCTTTGCTCAAGCAGCCTACATAACCTCTAAAATGCGTTATTCCTTAAACCATCTTTACACAGCCTTTGCCTCCCTTTTGGTTCGCCCGTAAAGATCAAAGGAGGAAAGGGCTAGTCTTTTTTCAAAGACTCCCAAACTAGCTGCGATGAATATCTTCCCTCACGGTACTAAACTCAGCTTAATCTTTTGAATTCCATCGGGGCGGATAAATTGACTACCAGTAAATTGTTCACTCCAGTGAACAAAATTGGTAAGAAGAAGAGAGGAGCTTTAAAAGGCAAGCTCAATCAACGACTTGGTACAAAACACCACTGAATTCCTTCTTAAGGTTCTACCTCCTCTGATACTACTTGGTTTCACTCTCCTCTCTTCCCTTAAGGGAGTACTAGCTTCTAACTACCTTGCTTAAGAGCAGTTACTTCCCTACTTAACTATCGCCTACCTACCATCTTACTTTCTAAAGAGTAGAACTCTTCTAAATTAAAGTAGTTATTTGAATCAAATATACCTCCGGATGGTAACCTCTGGAAGTAGGGTCCTTACCTTCTGGTTGCATAAACAATTCCTTTGGAATCTACCTAATACGTCTAACAAATAGGTATCTACTGGTTTTGATTTCAAAATTTGCCTCAACTTCTTCCTTTTTACTTGGTAAATCAGCTTTCTGCCGGCTTGGTCACAGTTGCCTTCTTGTTAATTCTTATATCCTGGTACTTCCTTCCTAAAATTCTACTCCTATTCCTTTCAAGGAAACTTCTAAGTAATCGAGTAAATTACGGTGGAATCACCTCCCATACACCATAGAACCCCTTATCTGGTGACCTGATCTGTTAACCCCCCCTTGATCCTAGCTAAGCTAGGATACGGCATGGTAGCAAGAGTCAAGGGCCTACCCCAGATCGGCAGTCTAGAGTCGGGGGTAGGCCCCCCCAGTTACCAACTCAATTCACTCGGCCCCTAAAGAGTGAAAGTACTTGGAATTGGAATCACATACATAATTGTAGGGATAATTCGGGGGGGGCTTCAGATTAGTTAGAGGTATCAGAAACGACAACATGAAGTAGGACAGTGCAAAGTAAGAATCAGAAGAAAGAAGGAGACCAAATTAAAAGGGAATTTACTCCGTACAAGGGCCAATGTAGGGGGGGGGAAAAAAAATGCCATTACCATGAGCTAGAGAGTAGCCTCTTTAAGGTAGCGAGAGATATAACGTCTAGGGATGTCAGTAAACTGGGGGGCCTCCAAGGGCCCCCCGGCGCCACCCCCGCCCTTTAGGCCCGGGAGTAAGATAAGGTTCTTTTTGCCGGCCCCAGGGCGGGCTAAAGCGGGGCTACGGGGGGGCTCCTCTGGAGGGGGATCCGTAGGATCCCACCGGGCTTTAGCCCCGCCCCGCTTCTCTGAACCCCCCGAAGGATCCCTTAAGGATAGAGTTAATTAGACATTTCAGTTAATGATATAACTATCCCTTACCGTTACAGACCCAACTAGTAAGCTTTTTAGCTAGCCAACTGGCTCATTGCCGTCTTGGGGGCCCAGCATAACCGACGTCTTCACTAGGATATTGGGTCATAGCCAATAAGGCAACCATCATTGATACTCCTTTGGGCACTTGGTAGTACCCTTTACCCTTGCTACCCCCTAGGTTAATTCAATAATGAATTATTGAAGCTCATTCGAACCTTCATTTCAACCTAGACTACTTCCCTTCCTTTTAACCTCCCTTTTTCGTATCGACAATTTAACTTCATTGTTAGGTAGAGCACTTGCTTAGGTTAAATTCATTTCTTACTCTCTTGGGGCCCCGGTTACGGTAAAAATTAGGTTAGGTTAAATTGGGGTAAAATTAAGGCAGAGCCTTAAGGGTCTACGGGGCCCCCGCATCAAAATTGAAAGTAGTTGCCTAGAAACGGGAAGTCGCTAAGTAGGAAAGTAAGGAAGCCTTAAAAGAGCCTCTTTACTAGTGTACTCTTAAGAATGGAGGAAGAATAAGTCAATTTCGCTAAAAATAGCTAAAAACTAAGGTAACTACTCTTACTATGAGTAAAGATAAGGTTTGATTCGTTACACTACTCAAACTAAAGACTCCTTACTATTAGTTTGAGTAAATAAGGAAAACTTCTACTCTATCCTTAACTTCACTGTAAACGTAGGCTTATAATCCCTTCATTAGAATACTTGTTCTCCTTCAATGGTTTAAATTCAAGGGCTGGCAAAGGCTGTAAGTAGCTTTCTCAATTAGAGTCAAAGAAAAAAGCTAATAGAAGAATAGGGGGCCCCCTGTAGTTGCAATCTAAAGCCTTGCCTTTTCAACTCATAACTTTTACGCGGATCGTAGTCGAATGGTCAGACGATCGGTTTGGGTCCGATAGATAGTAAGTTCGATTCTTACCGATCCGATTCAATCTGCTTATGGCCCCCCCAAGACCCTTCCCCAATAATCCGGTTCACCTTTCTATCTAAGGTGATATCTGAAAGGAAGGGAGAGTAGCCTCTTTACTTAGTAAAAAGAGCACCTTCTACCCTTCTGGTTCCTGAAGTACGGGGGGGGTATAATTTTCACTAGTTATAGGGGGGCTAAAGCCCGGGCCCTTGGAGGCCCCCCCAAACATAGAATTAGAAGAGGATATTTGGAGCTGTTGTTACCAAACTCTTATGTTGTTCTTTTTCTTAAGGAGGAGTGTTAAGCCCGCTCTGGTCGAACTTGGCTGCGGGGGGGCTTATCTCAGGCCCCCGCCGCTAGATTCCTATCTACATGGTCGAGGTTACCTGTTAATAAGCGACAGTTTAGCTAGATTAGAGGACAAGCCTACATAATACTCCCCCGTTACAGTATTATACCAAAGGTAGACCCTGCTTTATCTTAAGGATTTACCCTTACTTTAAGAGATCCTTTTTAGGAGTATAGGCCGTATACAATATAGCCTTCCACCCGAAATGAGGTAACTTTATAGTCACTAAGCGGGTTGATCTTCTTAATGTAATCGTCCTGCATTTTCGTCAATACCATTGACAATCTCAAAATTATGTTGATTTCATCATCTTATGGGTTAAGATAGTTGGCCGGGGCTTCAGAGAAGCGGGGTGGGGCTAAAGCCCGGTGGGATCCTACGGATCCCCTTCCATAGGATCGGGGATCCAGATGAGCGGGGATCCAGATAACCCCCCCCCCTAAGGCCCCCTAATGACTAATAAAGCCCATTTGAATCTTCTCTTAATCCTTCATAATCTCTAACGGTTTGGGCTGCCAATTAGCTGTAAGTAGCTTTCTCGATTAGAGTCAAAGTAACCCTCCATCCTAAGTTACTATACTTATTTGTGGACTTTAGAGCCAATTGCAAACTTATATGCAAGACTTGGATAAGAACCTCCACCTCAGCTAAGGTAAAGCCGCCGGTACATCAATACAGCCCCGCCGTAGGCCCCGTCGTCTTGTGCAGCGGGCTGGGGCCGTAGGCGGGGCTTCTTTGAAGCCCCCCCCGGCTCCATAGGAGGCCCCCGCTGCTTTAGCAGCCCTAATCCCTACTGATTCCAGGTGGGGAGATTACCGTAGTTTATACTACATAGAAGAGGGAGAAACGAAATTGCGCCCACGGGCTAGTAAGCCCTGAAGCCCGGCTGCCTCCAACTGGCAGTGAAATAGGACGGACTTTTCTAAACCGAATCGCTGCTTAAGAGCACCACATAGAAGTTGGACTCTTGGTAAAGGAATTAGTAGAAGGAAGCCCTTCCTTTAGCTTTACTGGCATCTGACATAGCCCAATGACCGAGTCCTTGACGGGTTAGTAGCTGAAGTATGTTGGCAGGCACAAGGTTGCGGGGGGCCGGAGGCCCCCATACCAAAGGCCAAGATGAGCGCTTCTAAACAGGGGGCTAATAATCCTATGCACGGTCGTGCCTCACATAATGCAAAGGCTGTTTACTTGTACGAGCTTAAAGCTAAGGCTCTGATTGTTCTTCAAAGTTTTCCTAATACGTTAGTCAACAAAGTATCTGTAAGCGCATCAAAAGGGCGGGGGGTTTTCCTCTGAATCCCCGCTGCTCTGATTTAATCTGATGTTAGTTTATCTTGCCCCCCCTTTATCTCCAAGAAGTCATCCAATAAATATAGGGTTCAATTTCATGCTATCGGGTCTAATAATCTTGCCCTTATTAGGGATTATCGGATTGGTGGTGGTATCGGCTAATCATAGGCTTTCTAAGCAAGTTACATTAGGGGTTACCCTTGCTAACTTAGCACTTAGCCTTGTCCTTTGGGGGGAATTTGACGGCAATTCGGGGGAGTATCAGTTTGTGCAGGAATTGAGTTATGTAACGGAGTGGCAGATTAAATTAGGGGTCGATGGTCTCTCACTCTTGTTCGTAATACTTACTTGCTTTATCATCCCTTGTTCTATTCTAGCTTCTTGGGCTTTACCCACTCCAAGAACTTACCACGAATTATTGCAATCTTGGCCCCTGATCGAAGTCGTAAGGGTCCGTTTGAGGGGCATCCCTACTCTACTTGATATCCCGAGAACCTCACATTACCTAATGGGGCTACTTCTGGTTGAGTCCCTTCTGATCGGCCTATTCCTGGTGCTTGACCTGCTCCTATTTTACATTTGCTACGAGTCCGTGCTAATCCCTTTATTTCTAATGATTGGTATCTGGTCCACCAGTCGCAACAAGGTCAGAGCCAGTTACCTTTTGTTCTTATACACCCTATCTGGTTCCCTCTTTATGTTACTAGCTATCTTAAGCATATATATGGCAGCAGGGACTACTGATTATCTGCTGCTAACTACTGGTGAGTTCACCTCTTCTGTTCAATATGCTCTCTGGTTAGGTGTTTTCCTAGCTTTAGCAATCAAATCCCCTATCATCCCTCTTCACATTTGGCTGCCTCTCGCTCACAGTGAAGCTCCCTTAGCTGGGTCCATTTTATTAGCAGGGATAGTCTTAAAAATGGCTACTTACGGCTTCTTGCGTATCTTGGTCACTCTTCTTCCAGAGGCCTCTGAGTTCTTCACTCCTTTAGTTTACACTCTATGTCTTATCAGTATTCTTTACTCTTGTTTAAGTACTCTTCGACAAAGCAACTTAAAAAGTATCATTGCTTACAGTAGTATAGGACACATGGCTATTGCTATATTGGGGGTTTTCTCTAATACAACATTAGGCATCGAAGGTGGCCTTTTACTTGGTTTTGCCCACGGGCTAGTAAGCCCTGCTCTGTTTGTTTGCGTTGGTATCATTTATGAACGCTGGCACACATTGATAATCCTGTATTTCCGAGGTCTAACAACGATTATGCCACTCTTTGCCCTTCTTTTCTTTATCTTCTGCTTGGCTAACATGGGAGTACCGTTGACTGCCAACTTTTTAGGGGAGTTCTTATCTTTAACTGGGGGGTTTAACCGAAACCCCGTCTTAGTCGGGTTAGCTGCTTCCTCAATGGTGCTTGTTGCTGGTTATTCTATCTGGCTCTATAATAGAGTGTGTTTCGGGTCTTTATCGCCTTATCTTCGTGCTACATTGGGTATCAACCGTCGTGA